TTAATATTGTGAAAATTCTGTAGTATCATTCGTATTATTGTTTTTGATGTTATCATTGCTAGTGCTACTAAGTCCGATGACAAGGACCATTATTGGCATTCTTCTTCTTATCATTATTTTTTATAGTGATAGTATTATGTATTAGTTGTTTTCTTAGTAGTAGTAGTAGTAGTAGTCGTCGTCGTAGTCGTAGTCGTAGTCGTAGTCGTAGTCGTAGTCGTAGTCGTAGTCGTAGTCGTAGTCGTAGTAGTAGTAGTAGTAGTAGTAGTAGTAGTAGTAGTAGTAGTAGTAGTAGTAGTAGTAGTAGTAGTAGTAGTAGTAGTAGTAGTAGTAGTCGTAGTAGTGTAGTAGTAGTAGTAGTAGTAGTAGTAGTAGTAGTAGTAGTAGTAGTAGTAGTAGTAGTAGTAGTAGTAGTAGCAGTAGTAGTAAGAGTAAGAGTAAGAGTAATAGTAAGAGTAAGAGTAGAAGTTCTTGCACCTATTTCCGTATTAGTAGTACCATTATTATCCCTATCATCATTACTGTTATTTGTAGGATTCGTATTGTCGTTGTTGATACTGTTGTTATCGTTATAGGTATTGACATTATTATCTCCACCGCTCTGTCTCGCCTCTTCTCGTCCTCCTCTCTCTCTTAACCTCCTCCTCCTCCTCCTCCTCCTCCTCCCCATCTTCTCCTCCTCCTCCTCCTCTTTCCCTTTTCGGGCAGGCCTGAGGGGAGGATACTTCGAGAGCGTCCCAGAACGCTCTCAGATCGTTCCAGACAGCTCTGGAACCGCTGTTCCCCTCCGACCTCCTCCGCCTCCGCCTCCTCCTCCTCCTCCTCCCCGTCCTCCTCCTTCCCTTTTTCTCTCTCTGCGACAACGACACTTGAGGCGGCCACAACGACACTGGTTCAACGACATCCAGGACCTCCACCATCGTCGACGATTGCTACCCCGCCGACCACGTCATTCTCTGCGTCAAGAGCGTCCGCCGATTGCCACCCCGAGGGCCACACCATTCCCGGCCCCCAGATCGACAGCACCGCCGACCGCAACATTCACGTCAATTTCGACTACCAGGTCGAGTGGCCCAACTACCAGGCTGAAAGCAACGCTGACCACGCACTGTCAGAGCGACGCCCGTCGGCCCGACGCCACACCGACCGCCATCCTGACGGCAATCCCTGGGTGTCCAAGTGCAACCAGCTGCCACGCCAGCGCGGTGCGGGCTGCCACTTTGACGGTTACACTCGACTGCACGTAAGAGTGACCCCTCGCCGGAGTGACTTTTGGTGCAGGCCCATTCGGGTCCCCCAATCGCCGAACGCGATGCGATAGTAGCGTCTTGCGCGCTTGTGTTAGGTCCCAGTTTGGTCCCTCCGCGGCCCCCAAGAAACCGCGCACCAAAGGTCACTCTTACCCAGGGTCACCCTTGCGTGTAGCCGATACGCTGGCTGCAACCCTGACGGCACCGTGGTTGCCACCTCGACGGCCGCGCCGGCTTCTAGTCCAACGGCAGGTCCGACTGCCAGACTGGAGGCAAACACGACTGTCTGAGTCTGGCCCGCGGATGCGCTCCTACCGCCAGTCCAGCGACAACGCCGCCTGCCACTACCACGGCAACTCCTTCGCCCTCGATCCTTCTGGCAACGGCAGCGATTCACTCCGCTTCCTCCTCTGCCCCTCCTTCCTACTCATCCCTCTCCCCCCCTCCCCTTCTTCTCCTCCCTGCTGCATCCCTCCCCCCTCGCTTCATCCCTCATCCCTCCTCCTCCTCCTCCTGCTCCTTCCTCCTTTGTTCTTCCTGCATCCTTCTTTCCTGTCTTCGTCGTCGCCCAGGCTGGGCGCAGGCTGGACACGTGCGACGCTGCGACCACGGTGGCGATCCAGGCCATCGAGTGGCCTTCCAACCCGCTCGCGCACGCTGGCACTGCCAGCACGGTGCCCCCACCCCACCAGTAGAAGGAGGAAGAGTAGGTTCAGTGCAAACCCAAGACGCATGTACGATTTTGCAATAAACCTTCCCTCCAAGATCCCTCTTCGTAGGTACCTAAACATATCATGATTGCGGGAATTGGCCCATTAGAAGACCACTGTCTGAGAGTCTTCAATTATGCCACAACGCCGCCCCTGGGACTCCAGCGTGACTGTTGCTTACTCGCAATCCTTAATCGTACCAGAACGCATCCCCTGGGACTTCAACCGTGAATCAACGTGGCTGACGCGTCCTGACAATCTTGCGACTTGCGCCATGCAAGCCCTTGAGACGAGCGTGCGCGGCGCAAAGGTGAGCGCCACATTTCGGAAAGGACCCGCCCTCCATCCGTGGAACTGTTGCAAGCTTTCACAAACGAATGTGCGTGGCGCTAAGGCGAGAGCCACGTTTAGAACAGGACCCGCCCTCCATCCGTTGAGCTGCTGCAGATTTCAAGCTTCAGGGTCGTAAGTGGCGGGGAAGTCTCGGGCGAAACGCCCAGCTCGCCCTACCGACACGTCTGGGGGTGCGACAGTAGTGATTTATTCAGTCGGAGAAGAAGAGGAGGAGGAGGATGGGGGAGGGGGAGGAGGCGGTCGAGGAGGACTTACCCAACGTTTTCGTCATCTGTCTCCAGAGCGTTTTGGAGGCTCGGTCTGGTTCCTGTCAGCTGCGCCTCGTCGAGGGCGTTGCGGGGGTGCCGTGCTAGAGCCGTCCCGCACTGCCACAAGAAACCGAGGTTTGACCCGAGCCTCTGCGCGGTTTGGGGCGGTTGCGCCCGGTGGCCGCTGCAGACGGGCCCTGTCGAGGGCCCTGCTGTCGCTGGCGTGCCTGCCATGGGGGCGCCGCCTTTGGGCAGCGGATGAGGGGCCGCCATGGGACCCCCTCCCCGGGGGGCTGGCGGGCAGGGGCCCCTTGCGGCACCGTCGGGCGCCACTGGCCACGCCCTCTGGCCGTGGGGAGGGGTTGCCGCGGGCTGGGCGCTAGGAGGCCCACCTGCGGGACATGTAAGTGCCCGCGCTGGGCGGCCCGGCCGGCCGCGCCGCCCGACCACGGGTGCGCGTCAAGCGGTCGGGCAGGGGGCGCTGCGAACGCAGGGAGCAGCACCTACGAAGCGGGGCCTGACCAGAGGGTGGGTGTGTGCCCCGTGGCGAGCCCGCTCTTCTCGGGGGGGCAGGTGGTGACTTGTGAGGTGTTCGAGGGAGGGCCTCGTATTCGAGGATCGGAGGATTTGTCATCTCTTCCTCGGCGGAAGGGCGGCGGAAGGCGGCGGAAGCAAAACGAGGCCGCATCCGCCGGCGGAAGCCGGCGGAAGTAACAAATCGGCCTCCCAAGATGTGGCACGGTTTGCTGGTTCATGGTTTTTACACCCGCCATGTCTATCCCACCCCGCGAATCGGACCGCACCGTCCAACCCCCAGCCCCCACCCGCTGGTGGGACGCAGGCATCGGACATGTTGCCGTGTTCGCCCACCATTTGTGCGGATGCAAATTTGCGCCTCCCGCCGTATTGCGCGCGCAGAAATTGTGCGTGTGGGGGCTATTCGGCTAATCGTGATCCTGCTTAGCGCATCGCGACGGTGTCGCCACGTAGCCCCTGGAGCTACATGTGCGTGTATGTGGTTTGTGTGTGCGTGTGTGAGAAAGAGAGAGAGAGAGAGAGAGAGAGAGAGAGAGAGAAAAGAGAGAGAGAGAGAACAACAGAGAAAGAGAGAGAGAGAGTGTGTGTGCGTGCGTGCGTGCGTGCGTGCGTGCGCGCGCGTGCGTGTGTGTGTGTGTGCGTGTGTGAATGTCTGTATGTGTGTGTGTGTGTGTGTTCGTGTGTGTGTGTGTTGTGTGTATGTGTGTGACCCCGCGCTTAGTACTTCTACTGGATCCGCCTCGTCGCTGCGCGTGATGCCGCTTCCGTCGAACAGATGTGTCTATGTGTGTGGGTGTGCGCCGACCTTGGAGGCTCCAGCTCGCGGTCGTCCGGCGTTTGGACTTGGTGCGTCGCTTCATAAAGGCAACTCAGTCGTGGTAAACGCGTCCCCAGACCCCGACGTCATGGTCTTTCACAACGTCGACTTTCAGAGGTCTAGACCCATTTCTTTTGGCCAATTCTTCATCCCCGGTCATTTTATGCTTCCAGAGTCCGAAAATCACACAACACCTTCCGCCGTGATTTTTGTCACGGCGCGAAGGGGGTTTGGGCACCAAGCGCCCATCGAGTTGAGCCACCTGCGCGTCGGAGGCAAAGAGGTCCACTGCGCGTGGCGGGCGCAGGCCACCGACGCCGCGGTGTTGTCCGCGCTGCAGGCGGCCTCCTTGCCGGCCACCCTGGACGGCGTCAGCTGCTGCACGGCGCCCGCGGGGGGTGTACCCGCGGGCGGCGGCGGCGGCGGCGATCCGCGACGGCGACGACGGCGAACCGCGGCGGCGACGACAGCCATGAAGGTTTTCGCGCTTCAACTTCTTCGAAAGGGTGCTGATGACGATGATGGATGCATTGTTCATGCTGAAGTGGTGATGCTTCGTGACACCACCATCATTATCGTCGTCATCATCATCAGCATTATCATCATTATTATCATCATCGTCATCGTCATCAACATCATCATCCGGTTGGCGATGTCGCCCCCCCGGGGGGCGCGAAGATGGTCGCGTTTCGTGCGTCGCTGCCCGGGCTGGAAAGCTGCTGCTCTCCAGAGGTTTGGCGCGCGGGCGCGAGCATGGCCGCATGCTGCGCATCGCGGAGCGCGAGGCGCGACGCTGGGTGGCCCCGGGACGGGGCATGCCGTGCCGTCAAGGTGAGCCCATCTAGGCCTTCCAGATGGGGTCGGAGCAGATGGGGTCGGAAGATCGCGACGCATCGCCGACGCATCGACGACGCATCGTCGATGTGGCGCCCGTGTCTCTCCTGGCCGACGTCGCCGATGCATCGCCGACGTTGCCGATGCATCGCCTATACATCTGGGGTGCACTGGCGATGCCGCGCGATCCTTCGACCCCATCTGCTCGGATCGCATCCAGGGGGCCTCAAGTTCAGCAGTCGCGGCGGGCAGCCACCACGGTTCAGGCCGCCAGCCCGAGCGATCGGCGCAGCGGCTTGGCCTCCTCCATGGCCCAGAGCCCCGAGGCCGTGATTTTTCCAAAGCTCAGAAGAGAAAACGGTACCCATACTTCTACCCTCCGCCCGTTTTCCCCTTTTTGGGCCTCCTGGGCGGCTCTCGTCGCCACCGCTGGATTCGCCTCGAGATCCTGGTCAGACCGCACCCCGGGAGAGGTCCGGGGAGCAGCGGTATCGGTACCTCTTGGTTTCCCCAAAAGCGTGGGCCCTCGGAGGCCCATGCCCCACTGCTCTGGGGGCGGCTTTTTTGCCCCGAGCCGCTCGTTGGCGGCCCCGTGGCCGATTGTTTTCTTCACGGCGAGGGGAGGCCTGGGCCCCCCATGTCCCGATGACGTACTGAACGGCCGCGGCCCACTCTTTGCGCGCGCGCGCGCTGGGGTGAGGGCCTCAGGGGCAACGTTTAGGGGGGGGGATAGGCTCAGGGGGTCCGCATCCACCCCCAATCGCCTCCTCCTCACCGATGGGGGCCTGATACCCCGCCCCGCGCAGGACCGTGCGGATTCGCCATTGGGTGTTCACTGCTGCAGGGGTCGACCTCATCGGTGTTTTGGCGATGTCATGGGCCCTTTGCGTTTCGATGTCGTCTTGCAGCAGAGGCGGACTCAAGACAGAACGAGAGCAAAACGAAAGCGAACACACGCACACACACGCACACTTACACACTTACACACTTACACACTTACACACTTACACACTTACACACTTACACACCTACACACCTACACACCTACACACTTACACACCTACACACCTACACACCTACACACCTACACACCTACACACCTACACACCTACACACCTACACACCTACACGCCTACACACCTACACACCTACACACAGAGACACAGACACACAGACACACAGACACACACACACACAGACACACACACACAGACACACACGCAGACACACACACATATATATATACTCCACACACACTCACACACACACACTCTTTGGGGCGATCCCTGCACCGCCGATCTATCGGCGATGTATCGCTGATTCCAGGTCGATGTTTCCTCCGCTGAGCCGGTTTGGCAGTCCCCAAACGTGGTGTTGACAATACCCGGCGGTGAGTCTCGGGCGATTTGGTGTCACCACCTGGTTTGGGGACACGTGTGGTTTCTTGAGGATGTCCCGAACGCTGGTGTGTCCAGGAGTCACAGAACCCGACGGTGGCCCCGTGTCCCAAAACCAGACGGTGACTTTTTGGGGGTTCCAGGTCAGCACCCGATATCGCACCACCTGGTTTGGGGGCTCCCAGCCGGTGCCCCCCCCCCGCTGACGTTCCCCCCCAGCTGGAGCGAGGGCCGATGGGCCCCGCGGCCGTGGGCGTGTGGGCGTTGGCCCTGGCGCTTTGGGCCCCCCGCGGGCGCGGCCTGGGCTACCGGTCCGCCGAGGACCGAGGGCCAGAGAACGACACCCGGAACCCCTCGCGTCGTGACAAACGGGCGGGTGGTAATGGGGGTCACCCCCCATTTACCACCCGCCCGGGACAATCATGTCATTCAACGTTTTTCTGATTCTTTGTGTTCCGTGCGGTTTTTGTTTTACGTTTGTGTATTCGGCATCTGGGGGCCCTCGCCAGGCCCCAGGACCTTTCAGGATGAAAAACGCACCCCGGGGGTCCACGCGGTGAAAATCATGACGTCAGGGGTCCGGGCACGGACGTGCGCTGTTGCAGGCTTGGGCGCTAGGCAGCGGGGGTCCGCTTCACGAGGGGGGGGGAGATCGAGGGTTGCAGGGCAGTGGCCCTCAATAGGCCCCAAGCGGCCTCTATTCTTCGAGTAGGGGATCGACTACATAATTGATGTGCCCCAGAAATTATTTGTTCGTCGAAATCATGAGAAATGCGTAGATTGCCCGTAGATCTACGAGCATTCTACGCATCACTTGACGAGAAGATCACTTCTGGGGTAAATCAATTCTGTAGACGATCCCCTACTCGGACGCTGTGCACTGCCGCCGCGGGCCCGAAGGGTGCTGCAACGGCGCGCGTTTCCTCACCTCCCCTTGTCCCCCCCCCCCCGTTAGCACACGCCCGACGGGCCCCCACGGATTTCTTGGGCCGGTGCTGGACCCCCACTCCCACTCTCCCCTGGCGGCGCCTCCGGCGCCGGTTCCCGGGCGCTGGAGGCGCCGAGGAGGGGGTTCGGGAAAGATGATCGAAGCAGTTTTGCCCGAGCGGGAGCCGCGGGACCAAGGGTAATTAGTAATTAGGGGGAGGCGAGGGAGGAGGCGGAGGTGGAGGAGGAGGAGGCGGAGGAGGAGGAGGAGGAGGAGGAGGAGGAGGAAGAGGAGGAGGCGAGGGAGGAGGGGGAGGAGGAGGAGGGGGAGGAGGAGGAGGCGAGGGAGGAGGGGGATGAGGGGGAGGGAGGAGGTGGAGGAAGAAGAGGAGGAAGAGGAGGAGGTCCTGCTTGCTTTGCCAAGTA